CGTTGAAAATGATGTGCGCTGCAGCGGGAGCACGATTGTGAACGAGCGGAAGCGCGAAAATGAGGCCAGCGCTTCAACGGGAGCACGATTCGGAACGAGAGCAGCATTTCGAAACAAAACCCAAGCGAAAACCTGTTTCTTGGGAATCCAGTGTGTGAAAAAACAGCACGCAGAGGGGGGGCGAACATTTCATTTCCCGGGCGTCACCAGGGGAGAGACGAGAGTAGTATTCATATTGTGTAATTGTTGAGGGGTGGAGGAGGAGAATGCAGACGTTGAGGAGCAGGATGTCCAACTCTGAATGTTGATTGATGTGTCCTCGGCTGTCGACTTTTATTGCGTACGGTGGTGGCTGCGGAGTGGGGTCTTGTCGGGCTGGAAGAGGAAGGAAGGGGGGGAGTAAGAAGGATGGAGGAGCAAACCAACCCCATCCGCCCCCGCGGCATGCCCCGCAATGGAGACCGTTCCTTTATTGCTTGGGGTATGACGGGCGTCATGGCCCCCGCTCCCCCCCCATGACGTTACGCTCCCCCTCAGAGTGCTCCGGGCACTGCCGCCGTGCGCATTGGGATCCGCGTAGGAATCCGCATAGGGGTCTGGTCCGCAGTCGTCGTCGTCGTCGTCGTCGTCGTCGCCCATTGCTTGTCGCTCGTCGCTCATAGTCGTCGTGCGCGCGGACGCGGCTGAAGCCTGTTTTTTATTCGGGGCCGATGACGGCACTCATCATTTGGGGGTGGGGAGGGGGTCGATGACGTCGCGTTTCGCGCCGGCGGCGTATGGGAATGCCAAGGGATGACGGAGGACGGGTAGCGCCAGCATGTAGGTGGCGATTTGCACCACAGCGCCTGTGTACACCACAGTGCTTGCGTGCACCACAGCGCCTGTGTACACCACACCGCCTATGTACACCACAGCAGCCGCGTGCAACACAGCGTCAGTTCTGTGCCACCATGCCTGCGGGCACAGCAGCTCTTGTGCACACCACAGCGACTGCGTACACCATATCAGCCGTGCGCAACACAGCACCAGTGTACACCACAATGTCTGCGTGCATTGCAGTGCCTGTGTGCACCACGGCGCCTGTGTGCACCACAGCAACCGTGTGCAACACAACACCACTGTTGTATACATATATATATATATATATATAATGTTCGAACAAATCCTTATTACAAAATGGAGCGCTTGTGGATTCCACAGAAAACAATTAGCCTGACGAAAGACCCAACCATACGTAGTTCTGAATACCGCAATTGTGGATATATTTTTCGGTGGCGCCCCCGGGCCACGAAACGAGTGAGGGGTGTGCCGAAATTGGGGGGTGGAACCGCATGCGAGCGCAGCCACTGGGGCGCTCGGTGGAGCTCCCTATGGAGCCGCGAAACGTGTGAGGGGTGTGCCAGAATGGTGGATGGAACCGCATGCGGGCGCAGCCACTGGGGCCTTCGGTGGAGCTCCCTATGGGGCCACGAAACGTGTGAGGGGTGTGCCAGAATGGGGGGTGGAACCGCATGCGGGCGCAGCCACTGGGGCCTTCGGTGGAGCTCCCTATGGGGCCACGAAACGTGTGAGGGGTGTGCCAGAATGGGGGGTGGAACCGCATGCGGGCGCAGCCACTGGGGCCTTCGGTGGAGCTCCCTATGGGGCCACGAAACGTGTGAGGGGTGTGCCAGAATGGGGGGTGGAACCGCATGCGGGCGCAGCCACTGGGGCCTTCGGTGGAGCTCCCTATGGGGCCACGAAACGTGTGAGGGGTGTGCCAGAATGGGGGGTGGAACCGCATGCGGGCGCAGCCACTGGGGCCTTCGGTGGAGCTCCCTATGGGGCCACGAAACGTGTGAGGGGTGTGCCAGAATGGGGGGTGGAACCGCATGCGGGCGCAGCCACTGGGGCCTTCGGTGGAGCTCCCTATGGGGCCACGAAACGTGTGAGGGGTGTGCCAGAATGGGGGGTGGAACCGCATGCGGGCGCAGCCACTGGGGCCTTCGGTGGAGCTCCCTATGGGGCCACGAAACGTGTGAGGGGTGTGCCAGAATGGGGGGTGGAACCGCATGCGGGCGCAGCCACTGGGGCCTTCGGTGGAGCTCCCCACGAAACGTGTGAGGGGTGTGGGCCAGCCACTGGGGCCTTCGGTGGAGCTCCCTATGGGGCCACGAAACGTGTGAGGGGTGTGCCAGAATGGGGGGTGGAACCGCATGCGGGCGCAGCCACTGGGGCCTTCGGTGGAGCTCCCTATGGGGCCACGAAACGTGTGAGGGGTGTGCCAGAATGGGGGGTGGAACCGCATGCGGGCGCAGCCACTGGGGCCTTCGGTGGAGCTCCCTATGGGGCCACGAAACGTGTGAGGGGTGTGCCAGAATGGGGGGTGGAACCGCATGCGGGCGCAGCCACTGGGGCCTTCGGTGGAGCTCCCTATGGGGCCACGAAACGTGTGAGGGGTGTGCCAGAATGGGGGGTGGAACCGCATGCGGGCGCAGCCACTGGGGCCTTCGGTGGAGCTCCCTATGGGGCCACGAAACGTGTGAGGGGTGTGCCAGAATGGGGGGTGGAACCGCATGCGGGCGCAGCCACTGGGGCCTTCGGTGGAGCTCCCTATGGGGCCACGAAACGTGTGAGGGGTGTGCCAGAATGGTGGAACGCCCCCGCATGCCGCAGCCACTGGGGCCTTCGGTGGAGCCCCCTATGGGGCCACGAAACGTGTGAGGGGTGTGCCAGAATGGGGGGTGGAACCGCATGCGGGCGCAGCCACTGGGGCCTTCGGTGGAGCTCCCGATGGGGCCACGAAGCGTGTGAGGGTTGTGCCAGAAGGGAGGGGGAGGAGGGAGGAGGAAGGAGAGGAGGAGGAAGGAGGAGGAGGAGAGGAGGAGGAGAACGCGGGGCGACGTCTCTTCAAAACGAGGACCCAACACCACAGGATGGCTGGGAATAAAACATTATCCTTATGGACAACGGAGCGCCGCTGGAGTCTACGAGTCCTCCCGAGTCCGCCCGCATCACACTAACTCCTCCCACGTGTGTCCAAGAGGCTCCAAGTAAATTGTCCGTCCGAGAACTAACTGGACCGATTCAATAGACCATTATGCGGTGCGCGCTGAGATGCGCACGTGCGCTGTGGCGCCAACCCGCACGACAGGGGGTAAGGAGGAGGAGGGATAGTAGGAGGAGGAGGAGGAGGAGGAGGAGAAGGAGAAGAAGTAGGAGGAGGAGGAGGAGGAGGAGGAGGAGGAAGGAGGGAAGAACGTCGCATTCGATGATCAGCATTTTCCTGACGTGGCGTCTAGTTGTCCGCAGAATTTCCTCACCTACATGCTCCTTCGACTTGTCCGATGCACGCAGGCATTGTGGTGTACACCGGCGCTGCGTTGCACGCGGATGTTGTGGTGTAGACACGCGCTGTGGCGTGCACGGGCGCTCTGGTGCACGCAAGCACTGTGGTGTATACAGGCGCTGTGTTGCACATGGTAGCTGCGGTGTGCACATGTACACCAACGCTGTAGTGTACGCAAGCACTGTGGTGTACAAAGGCGCTGCTTTGCACACGGTTGTTGCGGTGTACGCAGGCGCTGTGGTATGCGCGCGCTGTGTTGCACGCGAGCGTTGTGGCGTGCACAGGCGCAGTGGGGCACATCGCCACCTACATGCTGCTCGCGTCGTCGTCGTCGTCGTCATCGTCGTCGTCTCTCGTCGTGTCGCGCGCGCGGGCGCGGCTGCTTTGCCGGAGCCACACGGCGGGGAGGCCGTCACGTCATACCCCCCCCTCGCCCCCCCCCCATGACGCCCGTCATCGCCGAACATACAGAAACGCTCTCTTGTGCCCAAGTCTTCCCACGCTGTGGTATGTGGCTGCTGTGGCCACGAGTGGAATTCTCTGTGGGCCAAGGTATGCTACCACTGTGCAGGACCCCTTCCTGCAGGTACCCAGCCCTTCATCCGGAGATGATGGCGGCGGCGACTACGATGACGGCGGCGGCGGACGCGACGGCGGCGGCACAGGCGGCGGCAACAAAAGCGACGGCGGCGACAGCGACGGCGGGCGCGACGAAGGCGGCGGCCAATGCGGCGGCCAATGCGGCGGCAGGGGCCAGGGGGCGGCGTCCCCCGCAGGCCGTCCTGCAGTTCCGCGCCGCCCTCGGCGACTCGGCTGTCGGCCGCGCGCAGCCGCTGCCCGCGGCGAGGGCGCCCCTCGCCCAGAGCGGCCACAAGAAGCCGTTGGAGCTGCCCTCGGCCCAGAACATAAACGACGACAGCGACGAGGAGCGGGGGCGCTTGCGCGGGGTGCGCATTGGTGTCTTCTTTTTTCTATACACTCCCCAGACCTCCGACGATTCGATCGTTTCCAGCCGCTGGCGTCTGGAGCTCTCGATTCCTTCTCCAGGACAAGCCCGTCGTCCTTTGTTTTTGCTTGACTGCTGTCGGGCCCGAAAAGTTTTCCAGACGCGGGAGAACACGAGATGCTCTGGCACGCGGTCTTCCCGCTTGCGCAGGCAGAATTTCCACGGGGTTGTTGGGCGCAGGGGGTTACCACTGACACGCCAAAGTTGCTCAATCCTGTTTTCCGTGCTTAAATCCTGGCCGAAATGAGGTCGAGGATCCCCCGATGGCTTGGATCAAATGGCTCGGGCTCAAAAATAGCGTCTGACATATTGAGTCCAACCTCCGGGCTCACGCATCGACGGCTCCCATGAAAGCCGCGGGTCCTTCGGCCGCGGAGAAGAGGCCTCACATTCCTCGGGACGCGATGGACGTTGCCCTAGTCTGCGTTGCATCTAGTGAGAGGGCCCCGCGGCCCCCCCAGAGCCCCACTCCGTTGCGCGCGTGGCTTTTTGTGCGGGCGGCGTGGGCGCGGGGCCCTGCCACTAAGGCAACGCCGGCGAAAGCCACGCCCATCGCGTCCCGAATTCCCTCTCAGAGGCGACGACAGAGGCGAAAAGCCCAGGGGAAAGCAAGACGTGCATTCAGGGGCGCCGATGATCTATGTCTTCGACAAGGCTCCTGGGCGAAGACGTGTGATGCCCGCCCCTGGGCTATTCGCCCTTGCCGTCGCCACCGACCCTCTGTGCCCAGATCCGCAGACGTGTTGGCTCAAGTCTTGGGGGGCTCCGCGGATCTACCGACCGTCGGATGGCGCCCGACACGCTCGAGAAGCCTTCGGGGGGCAAGCTGTCGTCGTCCAATGGCGACGGCTACAGGCCAGATATCGATGGCCTCCGCGCGCTCGCTGTGCTGTCCGTGTTCGCATACCACATCAACAAAGCGTTGCTGCCTGGCGGCTTCACGGGCGTTGACGTTTTCTTCGTGATCTCTGGCTACGTCGTGATGGGTTCGCTCCTGCGAAGCTCGCCCGATCAATCGCAGCTGAATGGTGAGTCCGCGAGGTTGACGGAAGTCGATTTGGGCGAAGCTGCATCGTCATCAGAGTCTTCCGATTCAGAAACACGTGGTTGCGTCCCGGCTGGGCGGGGGTCGTGGTTTGATTTTACTCTTGAGAGCATCATGGGATTCTATGCCCGCCGCATGAAGAGATTATTACCTGCGAGCGTGGCTCTCATATTCGTGGTCGGTCTTTTGATTGCGGTCGTCATCCCTCCTTGGGAGCTTTACCGCAGCAGGTATTACAAATCAGGAATGCTGGGGCTTGTAGGGTGGGCGAACCAGTATTATGCATCTTTGGAGATCAGCTACTTCGACGAGGGTGCAGCCACTCTGGAGATGAACCCGTTCACACACATGTGGTCTTTGGGAGTGGAGGAGCAGTTCTATCTTGTGTTTCCACTGGCCATGTTCATTGCATATCCGCAGTGTGGCCGCATCGCGAGATTGCCGTCCGTGTTATTGCCCAAGGTTGTCTTCGGGTCGGCGCTGGCCCTGTCGCTGCTCACGTCGTGGTGGTTGACTGCTGCGTCGCCGCAGTACAGCTTCTATCAAGCAGCCGTCGGCAAGTCCCGCCACCGCGCCAGGCCAGCATTCTCGATGGCAGCTGTCCGAATCGATCGTAATCATAGTGATAGTAGTAGCAATGATAATACCAATGATGATGCTGATGCTGATGTTGATGATGCTGGTGATGATGATGCTGATGATATTGATGATGTCGATGATGGTGATATTATGATGATGATGGTGATGGTGATGATGATGATGCCGTTGCCGATGATGATGCTGACGATTATGTTGATGATGCTGATGCTGCTGATGATGATTTCTGTGGTGATGATGATGCTGATGATTACGATTGTGATTATGTGTATTCTTAGGATAATGATGATGTTGGCGATTGTGATGGTGATGCTGCTGAGGATTATAGTGATGATGATGATGGTGGTGGTGGTTATGATGATGATGCTGATGTTGATGATGCTGCTGATGCTGTTGATTATGGTGGTGCTGCTGATGATGATGATGATGGTGATGATGTCGACGAATATGTGCTGATGATGGTGATGATGATGTTGAGTTCTCAGTTTTAAGAACCATGATTGTTGGTCCCCCCTGACCTTGCGGAGGGGTTCCGGTTTAGTGTTCCCCTGGGGGATGCGGGGGGAACCCGTCCAAATTTGGCCCCGGCCACAGGCGGTGACCAGCAGAAGCGGCCGCAAGACGGCCGCACACGGCCGAAGATGGCGCAACACGGCAGGAGACGGTCACACTTTGCAGTTGCGATTTCGGGCGAGCTTCGAAGAGGCCCAGGAGACCCCCAAGACTTCCCAAGATGTCCTCCAGACAGCCAAGGAGGTCCATCAGACGCCCCAAGAGGGCTCCAGGAGATCTCCAGGAGGCCAAGATCATTGATTTCCCCTTTGTTCCCCACATGTTGAATGGGGCTCTAGTTTTCTCTCCACCTGCGTCGCACCCGCGTTCCTTCCTTCCTCTTCCTCACCCCTCCTCCCACCTTCTAATGACACATCACACGCACCACACACAGCACACATGAAACACATATATATATATATATATATATATATATATTTATATAGATTATATATATGTGTAAATGAACACGCACACACACACACACACACGCCACGCCCACAATACACAAGCGTCACAAGCCACACACAGTACACATCATACGCCACACAACACAACACATACACATGACACGCATACCACAGACGCACATCCCGCAGCGTGACAGTTTCTCGATGCCACAAGGGGGTGCGCAGGAGGTGCGGTCGCTATCCGTCGTACGCTCGCAAAGCGTGGCAGGCGTGCATTTCATCGACACCACAGGGGGATGCGCAGGGGGTGCGGTCGATATCCGTCGCACTCTCACCAAGCGTGGCAGGCGTGGCAGCTTCTCGACACTGCAGGGGATGCGTTGGGAGTGGGAGCGCTATTCGTCGTCGTACGCTCACAAAGCGTGGCAGGCGTGGTAGGTTCTCGACAGCACGGGAGGTGCGGAGGGAGCGGGGGCGCTATCCGTCGCACGCTCGCAACACGTGGAAACCGCGCCGGTAGCCAGGGTTTGACAGGCGTTACCAGCGGTACTGGCGGGGCAAAGGTTACTAGCACCATTCTCGCATCTTCCACTTCAAATATCATCGCGCTATAAGTATGTGGGGTTCCTCGGTAGCGTATGTTTTGCAGCGATTTTAGCGTTGCGCCTCTTCGGGCATCCGACGCTCTTAGACGGGCCCACATGCCCCCAACATCGCCCCACGACGGCTCGAGAAGCCGCCACAAGACCCGCAAGACGGCCCAAGAGAACCGCTAGACAGCCCAAGAGGACCCCAAGACAGCCTGAGAGGCACCCAAGACTGCCCCAGAAACCTCCAAGACGGCCCTTCAGCGCCCAAAGGAGGACCCACGATTTCCCAGGGAGGGCCCAGGGCGGCCTCCGAAGGTCAAGAGGCCCCCGAGAGGTCCCCAAGAGAGCCCCAAGAAGTCCCAGGAGGACCTCCAGGAGGCCAAAATCATTGAGACACCTTCGGCTGTTCAGCGATGTCAGCGTTCTCGCCTTTTCGGGCGTCCGACGCTCCAAGACGGGCCCATATGCCCCCAGGATCGCCCCAAGACGGTCTGAGAGGCCCCGTAGAGGCCCGCAAGACGGCCCAAGTGGCCCCACGACAGCCCAAGGAGGCCTCCCAGGTGGCCTTGAAGCGCCCAAAAAAGGACCGACGACTGCTCAGGGAAGGCCCCAGACGGCCTCCGAAGGCCAATCGGCCCCCAGGAGGCTCCTAAGAGGCACCCCAGAGGTTGGCAAGAGTCCCCAGGAGGACCTCCAGGAGGCCAACATCATTGATTTGTAATAGGTTGTTGTTCACTGATTTTATCGTTCTCGCTTTTTCTGGCCTCCGACGCTCCAAGACGGGTCCATTGGCCGCGCCCTCGACACTCATGAATCACGCTCTCGCGTTGGACTTCCTCACGGTATGCAAGACTGACGCTTCAGCGTTCCTCCCGTTCGACCCGGCCGTCTGGACCCGCCCGCCCGATCCGCCTTCTTGGGGTCCGCCCGCCCGACTCGCCCCGTCCAGTTCTGCCGCTTGATTCCCCCCTCCTACTCTCTCGTGCTGAAGCCTTCCCCCATCCCCCTTGTCGGTTCCCTCCCCCCTCCCTTGATTCACGGGAGGTAAGGAAGACATACACCGAAGGGGGACATTATCGAAGACGAAGAGGGCGGCGGGTATCGAGGTCTTGGGGTTATACATGTTGGGTGACACGCGAGCAAACAAGAGCGAACTTATTTAAACTCATTGCTGTTGTTTGGTGGTGATGATGGTGCCGATGGTGATGATGACATGATGGGGAGGATGAGTAGAGGAGGAGGAGAAGGAGGAGGAGGAATACTAGGTGAAGGAGGAGGAGTAGGATTGTGGCGGGCGAAATGGATCAGCAGCATGATGACAACGATGACGATGACCATGACGGTGGCGCTGATGATCAATGATGATGGTAATGGTGAGGATAATGACGGATGGTGGGGATGATGGTGGTGAGGACGGCGGGGATCCATGATGGTGGTAATGATGAGAATAACGCTTGATGGGGCGATGAGGATGGCGGGGACAATCGTTGTCGTAAGGAGGATGCTAATGACGAGATGATGTGGATGGCGATGACGATGACGATGACGATGAGGATGCGAATGGTGATGATGCTGATAATGATGGTACTGCTGCTGCTGCTGCTGCTGATGATGATGATGATCGTGATGGTATTGCTGATTATGATGATGACAGCGGCGATGATGATGCTCATGATGTTGATGTTGATGACGATTGCAATGAGCGGTGATTATCATGATGTTGCTGGTGATGATTCTGATGATGATGCTGCTGGTAGTGATGGTGAGGATGATGATGTTGATGTTGCTGATGCTGTTGCTGCTGCTGATAAGTATACTGACGCTGTTGCTGGTAATGATGATGACAGTGGTGGTGATACCGCCGATGCTGATGATGATGCTGATGATGATACTGATGATGAGGATGGTTTTGATGATGGTGACAATGCTGCTGCTGATGATGGTGTTGCTGATGATGATGTCATTAAGGCTGCTGCTGCTGATGCTGATGCTGATGATGCTGTCGTCAATGGTGATGAGGATGCTGTTGCTGCTGCTGATGATGATGATGGTGATGATGATGATGGGGCTTATGATGATGGTGATGTTGATGTTCTTGTTGATGATGCTGATGGTGGTTTCTGATGCATGTGATTCTGATTAGGCTGAAGATACTGATGATGGTGGTGAGGCTTGTGCTGAGGATGATGATGATGATGATGATGATGCTGATGCTGATGCTGATGCTGATGATGATGATGATGATGATGATGATGATGATGATGATGATGATGATGATGATGATGATGATGATGATGATGATGATGATGATGATGATGATGATGATGTGAGCCGTCGTAGGGCCGCTCCGCTCGTCTTCTTGCGCCTCCGCGGCCGCTCCTCCGCGCGCTCCCCCTCTTGCAGCTGGGGAGACAGATTGTCGAGCGCCCCCGACAACTCGAGCCCGCCCGTGCGCGCTGCCTCTGCCGTGCCGCAACCGGAGAATGCACACAAACCAGAGCCGACATCGGGCTCGTCGAAGAGGACCGGCAATGGGCACCCGGGGGCACGTCGGGCGTTCGGTATTGGGGGGGGCGATGCATTGGGGGGGCATCGAGGGTTGCACGAAAGGGGCCCCAAACGTGCCCCTCAGGGCCCCGAAGGGGTACGAAAGGTGCACGAAAGGTGCACCTTTTCCCCCATTTATCGCCCCCCCTTTAGTGAACGCCCGAGCACGATCTTCCGAGCGCGGGCAGTGTACGGGCACGGGTCGCGCCTCGGACGCCCGCGCGTCGGGCCCCTTTGTCGGCACGCGCGCGGTCCTGCGCTCGCTCAGGGAGGTCCCAGTCGACCGGCTCGTTCGAACCGCAGTTCATCGAAGTCAAGGGTCTCTGTCTGTACTTGGGAGCAGCGTCGGGAAAAAGGAGCTACAAGAGCCCAGGCCACGAGGTTCGTGGACCGTCTCCGCCAGGAACTGCCACCCGATCTTCAGGGCTATCTCGGAGAACTTCAATTGGCCGGCATTTTCAGTTTTAAGTTACGAATCCGCACAACCCCCCAGTACACTTGGGAATTGAAGGGGTGTGTCTCGGACATTTTGAAGACAGGCAATTACAAGATCAATGACATTATTCCGTACGTGGTGGCGGAGAAACCATGGAGGTCCGTTTGCGCTACCAGAAGTTGAGCAAAATTATCGAGGCTACCAAGAAGGCGATCGTGAACACGGAAGGGATGAAGATGGTCATCGAATGGTCCCCTTGTTCATGTTAAGTCGAAGTCCCTACGGAGGAGAGGCCGCTCTTGATTGGTGAGGTGACGGACCAAGTGGATATGGTCGTGAACGTCAGGAACATTATTAGGCTCTTCAACATGGAGGAAAATGAGGAGAACGGCTTCTTGGCCCT